CTCTGGTCAATCTCAGAGAGCTCTGAGGGAAGTCCCAGCCTTCCATGGCCCAGAGCCCAGTAGCATCTTACCAGCTTTTTCATTTGTCCCCTACAAGCAGTGATGAGATGTCTAGAGGGGGTAGCCCTCTAGACGTTGGCATCTCGGCAAACTGAAGCCTGGCTCCTCAAACAGGCAGAGATGGAACCCAGCAACACTGATTTCCCTTCAGCCCATTTCCAGGTACCCAGCCTCCTGAGGGCCAGTCCAACAGAAAATTAGTCATTCTTCTAGGCTGTATACAGAGGCAGTATGGCGTCATGGATAGAAAGCAGGGTTTGAAGTCAGGAAAACCTGAGGTCAAGTCTGTCCTCTGAAATCTAATGGCTATATGACCTTGGCTAACACTTTTAACTTGCGGACAAGTTGCCAACCTAAATTGGTAGAAAGGGATTCTTTCTCTTAGATTTATCTAAAAAAAAATGGGTCCAGTGTCTATATAGGGATGTGGTTTTTTTTTTTGCCTTAAGATCCCTCACAGCAGTGGCCAGAGGGGCAGCCCTAGTGTCAGGAAAGCCTGGGTTAAAGCCCCACCTCAGACATATATAGAGGTATGATCCTTGGCAAATGACTCCACCACTTAGCGTCCCCAGGCACCTCTCTAAGACTGTTATAATTGCATAGTGAGTCTAGACCAAAACTAAGCATCCCTGGCACCAGCACCATGCACATAGTAGGTGCCTCATAAGTGCTTGTAAGGTTGCATTGGTTTCACAATGGGAAGGGGGAATCATTTCTTGGCAAGTTCCCCTCTTGGGGCTTATTTAAAAGTTGCCAACCTAAAACAGCCCCTCCCATAATACCTTGCATACAATTATGGCTCAATAAACATTGAATAAGTAGAATGAATGAGAGAAGGAGTGAATGAAATACCACCACTATCTTTTCTTCCTCATCTAATCTCGTGGGAAAGCACCCAAAGTCCTTTGCACCAGACATCCAAGAGAATTGCAACAACAGAATGCATAGACTCTCTGGGGCTTTGAGATCATCCCCAGAAAGTATCAGATCTCCATACTCTGAGCACGATCCGAGGCAACATTTCCCCAGAAACAAACCTAAACACCAGCCTGGAAGCAGATGTCCTGCCCAGTTCTAGTTCCACCTGCTTGTTCCAGTTCCTCTTCCACTCTCCTTAAACCATCGCCCATATTTAGGCTACCCAGCTCTTGCCCTCTGGCCCACACTCTTCCTCCTTATTTTCTCAGTTGTTTCTCCAACCGCCATCCCTTTCCAACTACTACCAAGTTCCCTTCTTTAAACTACAGAGAAGGAGAATTCTCCTTTTCTCCACCACGTTCTTCCCTGCCTTCGTTCCCTTCCTGGGGTCTCCTTTACTTAATCTTGCCTCCCCTCAAGCCTCCAGCTCCCTTCCAAACAGCTTCACAAGCACATGAAAGTCAGGACAGCTAGGACCAGAGCAGCTACTGATTTCATCATGTGAGTCACCCCACCCAAAAAGAACTGTAGAAAAGGAGAGGAGAACCCCATATGAGAACAGGCGCGCCTCCAGGCAAATTACCGGACATTTTTAGTTTTACTGGCCAGGCTTAGCATATCTGGGGTACTTAATAAGTATCCCTGGGTTTATGATAAAGACAATTGGAGTCAAGATGCTTTGAGCTGCAGTTTAATACTGTGCAAAGTTATTAAATAACTCCCTTAGAGCCAGTTGGGAAATTCAATATCTTCTCCTTCCTGAGATACAAGTAAGTAAGTAAGTATGTAAGCAAGTAAGGGGTCACTCTCTGACCTTTAAGGCAAAGCTGCCCCTGTTACTCCCCTTCACACACTCTTCAAGCCAGCCTCACTGGCTGTACCTGTACCTGCACTTCCATGCCTTTGTCCAGGCTGTCCACCATCCTTGGAACGCACCTCCTCCTCATCCCTGACTCAGTAGTCCTAACTGCCTTCACAGTTCAACTCGAGGGCCTTCTCCACCACGAACATTTTCCTGTTGTGCCCCATGAAGCTCCACCAGAAATTGGTGCAGACTATTTGCATGAAGTGTCAATTTTTCACTAACTTAAACATGTGGACAAGTTTCCTAACATAGAAACACATTGTTTCCTTCCTCCCCTCAAGGGAAGGGGCGTTCATATTTGTCTTGGTGTCTTCAGTATGGTGCCTGGTGGGTAGGAGGTGCTCTATTAACACTTGCTGTAGGACTGAGCTATTCTTCTCTTCTCTACCCTCTCCAGAGCTCACCAGCTCTCCACAGTCCAAATCAAGGTCCTCCTCCTCCATCAAGCTTTCCCTGATTGTTCCAGCTCACACCCATCTCTTTGGCTGTTGAATTCCTAGGACTTTTGTTTCCAGCACATAATCCAGTGCTTGATTACCTAATGCCTTAAATTAACCTCTAAGTGGGTCGTAGACCACACAAGTTAGAGCTGGAAGCCGTTTTAGGCATCATCTGGACCAGTTTCCTCATTTTTTAAGAGGAAATTGAGGCTCAGAGAGGTTGACTTGCCCAGTGTCATGAAACTAATGAGACTTGAACCTAGATCTTCCCTACTCCAAAGCTGGATCTCTAATCACAACGCCGCTCTGCCTCCAGCTTGGTGGGTACAAGTCTTGTCTCCCCAATTAGACAATAAGTTCCTCCTAAGTTGAATTTTTGTTTTAATTTTGTAATATAAAGACCTCTGGATCTATTGTGAGAGGTCCGGGCTCTGTTGCTTATTCTGTGGCCTCCATCATCGAACCTAGCTATTAACCAATTTGGTTTCCTCATGCGTGAAATGACAACGAAAGATTTAAAGTTAGAAAACACCTTAAAGGTCCCCAAGTCCAACCCTTTTGTTTCATTCGTTGGAGGCGCAGAGAGATTAAGTGATTTGTCCAGAGTCACACAGCTAGTCAGGGTCTGAGGCAAGGTTTGAACTCAAATCGTTCCCAACTCCCCATCCAGTGCCTGGCTACCCATCTCCCAAGGTTGCTTGGGGAACAGTTTATAATGCCAGATGTTGTAGCTCTCCTACTTTCTCTGGCCCCACAGCACAGCCCCAGAGCCGAGAAGGTCCTTAATAAATACTCCTTGAACTGAATCCTCAGCTGGGTTATGTTTAATGACACCGTTGGCACTTCTTGAAAGGGGAAATTAATTTAGCGAGCGATAAGCCAATGGGCTCTGTAATTATCTACCGAGGCCAGGAGAGACAAAGAAAACCCTCCCTGGGGAAGAACCCCACCTCCCATCCCTAGCTCACCCAAGCTCCCAGCCCCTCCTCCAGACCCAAGACAGGGCTGCCCCAGCCCACTGCCGTGACTGGCCCAAAGCCGTATCCCTTCTCAGGCCAAGAAGGCACCAGGCTGGTCCTCCGCTCCTCACTTCCCTGTAGAGGTGCCATCTCAGTCAGGAAAGTCAGAGGGCCCCAGATCTGAAACAGTCAGTCAGCGCACTGGGGATCTTCACAAGCCTCTCACAGCGCTAGCAGGCTGGAGCCAAGCATTGATTCTCTGCTCCCACCCCCCTCCCCCAGACCATTTCTATTCCTGGGGAGCTCAGGAAGAGGCAGCCGGGCTGTTTCCAGTTTCCCGCAAACACTCACTCAGCTGAAGCGACCACGGAGCTTCTAAGAGCTAGGATTTGTAGACAGTTAGGGGAGGTGGGGGAAGGGGGAGTGGAGAGCAGCAGGTTTCGGCTCCCCCAGGGACTTGGGTTGCTGTAAGGAATTATTTACTTCAGCCTACTCAGAGCATGCTCTCACATCTCTCCCCAATGCCAATCTGCTTTCTGGTCAGCCCCAACCCTAGCAAATGCAATAAGCATTTATTAAGCACCTAAGGTATGAAGGGCCCTTGAGGCGCTACATGGTATACAGGATGTGCAAAGGAAACTCATTCTCCTCTAAACAGGTAGTAGAAAATGTGTTCTATGTGTGTGTTTGGGGCGGGGGCAGAAGGAGGGGATTCAGAAGATATGGGCTCAAGTCACTTAACTCTCTGAGCCTCACTTTTGTATACTAAGAGGGGTGGGCTTCACGACCTTTGAGGTTCCTTCCACCTCTAAATAGAAGTTTCCACTTCTCTAAAATGAGGGGATTGAGTCCACCGGGAATCCTCCCTCTAATTCTATGGGCCAGTATTCCACTGAATGGCTCCACAACACCCTCCCAATCTGAAAGCTATGATCTAATTAGAGAACAATACAAGACAATTGCGATCAGTTGAGAGCTAGTAGAACAACAACAACAAAAATCCTTTAATAATTCAGGGACAGGTAAGATCAGTGGGGGGTTGAACAGGCAGGGAAAGCTTCTTGGGTAGTCTTCAACTGGGCTCTGTGAAATCTACTTGGAGCTTCTCCTGCCCTGGGCATATCTGAGCCTGCTACTGCAGCCCAGCCCTGCCCAGCCCTGCCCAGCCCCAGCAATGGGCTTCTTACTCAACTCCTAGCAGGCTAGGGGATTCCACAAGGACAGTTAGTCAGTTCCTTTACACCATGTGGTCTGAGCGTACAGAGGATGAGGTGATGGCCAGGCTTTGGGACCGATCTCTGTTTCCCTGAGCAAACTTTAAAAAGAAGAAAGGCGTGGGGGACGGGGGGCGGGGAGGGAGAGGGAGAGAGAGAGAGAAACATTCTTTCCAACAGGAAATTTGAAACAACGGAGCTAAAACTCTCAACTCTTTCTCTCTCTCAGCGCCTTGTATTCACTCATTGAGAGGAGGCAAACACAGAAAACTTCTTTCTGACTTGACCATTCCCACAAGTTACTAACAAGGGACCAAACTTTAGGCAAAGACAACTGGGGGTAGACAGCTGGGTGATGGGTAGAGCTGAGGACAGGGTGGAAGGCAGTAAGGTAGGGTGGGAGAAGCCAGGAGCTGAGGAGGAGACCCCCTGCCTCCCGAAGCCAGCAGCAGCCGTAGCTCAGCAGTCCCTGTTCCCCTCTAGTCAAAGTCCGTCCACACTGAACAAATACCCGAACATTTTCTTTCATTCATAATCCACTCACCGATCTGGGCCAGGCTCAGCTGCACTAAGAATAATCCCCAAATCGTACGACTCCAAGAGTTGTCCATTGTCTGCCCTGGGGTTCTCTTTCTTTCTCTATAAACAAACTCGGAGTTTCCCCAGCCGGAGCCGCTAAGACAAAGGCACCGAAGAACACGTCCGAGTCGGATGAGTCGGTCCAAGAGTGAGAGAGTCTCGGAAGTTTGCTTGCAGTTTTGATGAAGGAGGGACATGAGTGAGGGCACACCCATGTGGATAGCTGAAGGGTAGTTAGTTATATGATTAAGCAAGCAGCCTGCCAGGGAGACGCTTTTAAGGAGGCACCAGCGCTCTTTTGTTTGGCTCCTGGTTTGTGTTTTCTTTGCTTGCTTGCTTTCTTTAAAGTATAATGAGACTGTAAATCAGGACTACGGATGGCAAAGAGCAGATGGCAGGGTTCCCGTCAATGCACTTGGCTGGGAGGGTGGTCTGGCTTTCTTATCAATCCTTTCTCCCAAAGCTGTTAGTTCTGTTAGGACTGAATGAAGACCTAGAAATAACGAGTAGCAGGAATCGCTTCCCCCTCTTTAGAGCTGTTTTAGCAATCCAGTCCTAATTCCCCAAAGGTTCTGAGTATCCCAAGAAGTCACATATTTCAACACCCCTCATTTCATAGATGAGGAAACTGAGGTCCTGAGGTGTTTACATGATTTAGAATAATAGATCTAGAACTGGAAAATACCTCAGAGGGCAGCTAGTCAAATTCCCCCATTTTACAGATGAGGAAACTGAGGTCTAGGCAGGTTGAGTGACTTGCCTTGCCCAAAGATTCCAGTCCAGGTCCCCTGACTCCCAATTCAGCATCTATTCATGAAGTACCATCCTGCTTTCAAGATCCAGAGTCCAGGTACCCATTTACAGGTGGAAGTTACAATTCCATCCATTTCCCCCAAATGGGGAAGCCCTGCTCCAGCCAACAGAAAGGGCTGGTACCCATTCCCTCATAGTCCTCCCCAAACAGGAAAGTAATGTCATACGCATGACCCTGGTGGTCCTTTGCTTCCCTGATGATTGTAGCCACCTGGAGTAGTGATGACTGACCGTGATGCCAACATGGGATAAGTGGTCATGTTGTGTTTCCAGTATGGTGTTGGGGTGATGAGCAGTTTTCCAGTAGGGATAAACAGCAGCTCAATTCAATTCACTTCAATTCCATGAGCAATTATTAAGTGTTTACTGTGTGCAAGGCACTGTGAAATATTGGGAATACAAAGACAAAATGGAAAGAAGCCGCTAATCTCAAGAAACTTACATTCTACCTACTCCCCAGATACTCTCTATCTGGAATAAGGGACTATATAGCACACCATGCTGTCCTCCATATTTGCACAGTGATTTTCCCGGTAGGAGGAATTAATGGATTTGTACCAGGTCATCCACATTTCTTAGCTGATTCTCCTTGGGACCAACAGCAAATATTCCTGAGACAATTATTTAGGTTGTGGGTAAGGTCCAGTACTCTGGGATAAGGAAAAAAAAAAAGCATGGTATGAGAGAGGCTAGTACTGTCTCATACAAAGAGTGCTGGATTTGGAGTCAGAAGACCTGTGTTTGAATCCTGACTTTTACTTCCTCGTGTGACTTAGGGTAAATTACAAAGCTTCTCAAGCCTTCACTTTCCTCATCTAAAAAATGAGGTTCGACCAGATGGCTTTTGAGACCCCTTTTAGATCTAGGTTAGTAGTGCTTAACTGGGGATCTACAAACTTTTGAAAATATGTTGAGATTTCCTTTATAATCCTATATTTTATTTTATTTAGAAACATTCTCCTGGGGATCTCCTTACCCTGCACTTCTGCATCCATGCCATCTCCAGTCACCCTGATCCATATCTGGCCACTGGACCCAGATGGCTCCAGAGGAGAAAGTGAGGCTGGTGACTTTGCACAGCCCTCCCTCACGTAAATACAATTCACTTGAAAGTCATGGCATCACCTTCCTGATGCCATGGTCCTCTTCAAGAATGAACAACAATAACAATAACCCAACCCTACTCTCTTTTCTCTCTAAAACGGCCTTAATTGTTCTATCAGATTAACTTTCCATAAAAGGCTGCTCAAAAATCCTCAACAACTCCCCATTGCCCATAGAAGAAACTTCAACTCTGTCTGGCATTCAGGACTATAATCTGATGCCATTTTACCATCTTCCCAGACTTGTTTTATATTGTCCCTCCCCCACTCCATGTATTCTATATCCCAAGTAGGAATTCATCAGTATTACTCACCATCCCCCAAGCATATTTATGTGTCCCCAAGCTCCCCTGCCTTCACCTCTTTCTTTACACTCTTCCCTACTCCTAGAATCTTGACTTTCCCCTCATCTTCCTACCCATCTTAAGCCTTTGTGATTATAATTGTTTTTGCTTTGGGCTTAACTTGTCCATCTTTCCATTGCTTACATTCCTATATGTGGATACTTTGTCATGGCATGAAAAGTTAAAACACTACTCATGAATTAGAATTTCAAACAATTCTCCACTTCTTTATTAGACCTCACATGGCCCACACCTCTATTGGAATCATGAGATCAGAGGCTTAATACTAAAAGCAGCTAGAGGTCCTCTAGGTGAACCACCCGCCCTCATTTTATAAATAAGGAAACTGAGACCCAGAAAGTTGAAGTGATTTATACACTTAGAATATAGAATACACGAATTCTGGGAAAAGAAGATGGCTCCAGATTGTGGAGTCTGAAGGTCACACAGCTTCTAATTGTTGGACCTGGTAATTGAAACAAGGTCATCTGACTATAAATCCCCTATTCTCCCCCCCCAAAAAAAAAACAGTTCCTCCCAGTATTGAACTGTATTATTTTGTGTTATGGTCATTTGCATATGTACCATATCTCTTGACTGGACTATAAACTCTATTAGAGCAGGGATTATGGATTAAGAATCTTTGTTTATTTCTGTCATCTCCCCCTCACCCCCTGGCACCTTGCTCAGTATTCTACAGATGGTAGATAATTAATAAATGGTTTGAATGAATGATGGATGGATGGATGTTTGAGATCTAGGTCAGTAAAAGTTCTGTATCATACTGAAACAACTACCTTATTAATTCCTCCATTGCTAATAAGAGGCAACAGTGTGTTCAGAGGAACATTCTTGAAAACACATAGAAATCAAATTGTGGACCTGTACCCATTCTGAGAGAATTTTGGAGTGGAGGGTAGTAACCTTTTGTTGTTCAGTTGTGTCCAACTCTTAGTGACCTCATTTGGGTTTTCTTGGCAAAGATACTAGAGTGTTTGCCATTTCCCTCGCCAGCTCGTTTTACAGATGAGGAAACTGAAGAAACAGAGTTAAGTGACTCTAGCTAGTAAGAGTCTGATGGCAGATTTGAACTCATCTTCCTGACTCCAGACCAGGGATTCTATCCACTGTGCCACCTCGCTGCCCAGGATAGTATTTCACCTGTTGCATTTAGACTGGAGTTAGCAACAGTCAATTTGGGTGATCTGACTCAGGAATCCTGCGATACTCCTAGGAGGGTTGTTCGTATAGAAAGGCTTGGTTTTGCTTAATTTTGATCTCTCAGGTGGACCATTCAGTAGCGAGTAACCTTTTTCTTGACTGTAAATAAGCTGCATAGAGTATAGATCAAAGCAGGAGCTGAAGAGTAAGCAGCCTTGAGACCTGGGGATGGGCTACAGTAATAAGAATAAGTCAACCAGAGGTTTGCTCCAGAGTGATGGCGTCTGGGGGGTTGGGAGAAGGGGAACAAATAGGCTCTCCATCATAATGGCCCCACACCAAGCAGCTGCCCTGACTCTCTAGTGTGACTCTGGGTACCCCCTTCTCTAAGCAGACAGTGGGGTGCAAGGGAAAGAGCCCTGGAGCTGGAGTTGTGTGGTGTAATGGATAGAGCAATGCACTTGGAATTCAGAAGACTTGGGTTCAAATTCCACCTCAAACACTTGCCCGAAGCAAGTCTCAGTTTATTTCCTCCAGTGTTATAGTAAGTACTTGAATTCCATGTCCTCTGAGGTTCCTTCCAGTTATAAATGTATGCTCCTCTCACCTGCTGTACGTATCACTTAGGTGACCTTGGGTCTTAACCACTTAGAGTCTCAGTTTCATCATCTCTCAAATAAGAGGTTGGATTAGATGACCTCTGAAATCTCTTCTTGGTCTATGATCCTGTAATCCTGATGGCCCTGTCTTCCCTCCACCCCAGCTAGATCCCCTGTACTTCTCCCCATCCTCTTCCTCCTTCTAGATGTCGAGATTTGAAGACCAATGGCCAGAGCCTGGGAGCAGATTCTTAGCCACACAAGAGGCCCCTCTTCCCAGCATGACTCCATCTAACAAGGCACTTGAAGACACACTCCCCTCTGCAGCTCCCCCACAGCCTCAACCCCTAACTGAATTTTTCAGGGGCACCAAAACTGCTAGTTACAGCTCTGTGCTAAATTGTGGGAGTCAAGGTTGATAAGTACATAGCCACAAACTAATTAAATGGGGCAATGTATATGCACTCCCCTCTCTCACTTTGCTGTCAAACTAGATCAAGGAAGCAAATCAGTGGCTTAGCTCCACTCACCCATTTAAGCACTAAGCTGTAAAATTCAGGCATGTAGAATCAACAACTGTCAGCATTCTCAGGAAGAATCACTAATAGCATGCTCTTTGGGGAAAAATCTTCCAGACAAATGATAAATTAATGAGCTAATTAGTTATAACCTAATCCATTATCATTTAGGGGAGGTTCATAGAAAAGAGAGGAAAAGTGGTATCATTGAAAAAGCCTTGGGTTTGAGAGTCAGAAGACTTGGGGTCAAATGACAGTTTTGCCTCCTTGCTAGCTCTGTGGACTCAAGAAAAGCAGCTCACTTCTCTGTTCTAGGTGCCTCATCTGTTAAAGGAGAGGTTTGGACCAGATGACTTAGGAGGACCTTTCTGGCTCAAAATCTATGATCTCACTTGACTTCACATTGAATGGCATTCCTCTAGTGGTAGTGTGAACCAGGAGGCATCATGGTGCTCTTGCTGCTTAGCTATTCCTGCAACCAAAGGACTGACAATGTGGGAAATGGACAGATAGGTAGGTAAGTAGGAAGATAGGTAGATAGGTAGGTAGATAGGTAGATAGATAGGTGAATAGATAGATAAATAGATAGATAGCCAGACAGACACACAGACAGACAGACAGACAGACAGACAGACAGACAGACAGACAGACAGACAGATAGATAGATAGATAGATAGATAGATAGATAGATA